CGTCTGTCCCGGACTCTCCCCTTTTTACCTCCCCACTAACAGCCTCGGCATCTGCAGTAGCTGGAACAGTAAGAGTGCTTGCTGCGCATGGAGCTCAGCCCCCAGATTTCCTCCCAGAGAGCCAGCCAGGACACACACACGCGTGGACACACACACACACACCCCGTGCACCCTACACAACCCCTCAGCATCTGGCCTAGAGCCTTGCTCCCATCTTGAACGTACTCAGGGCATATTCAGGGACACATAATGGGAAAATCGATTCCCGGATCCTTTCAAAAACCCTCTGTGGAAGGTGGGGATTGACTTTTCTTGTAATTGCCAGAGGTCACATGTGCTCACCAGAAAGAAAGACAGAGAGAAAGGGGGAGAAAATACCCTCCAATGGGGCGTGGTCATACCACAATCCCGTCTCCTTCCTTTCTTTTTTTTTTTTTTAATTAATTTATTTATTTTTAATTCACCAGAGAGAGAGACAGAGAAAGTGAGAAAGTGAGAAAGCAAGCTGCCAGGTCCAGGTCTTGAACCATGGTTTGCCATGTGGGAGTGTCCAGTGCTTTACCCAGCACACCACCTGCTGGCCCCACCTTCTCCTTCATGTCTACATCATGTCGGGATTTGGACAACACATGCACACGTACCTGGCGTGTTCCTCACGCCACCAGAGCCAGGATTCGAATCACAGTCTGCCGTGTGGGCTCCCCCTCCCTTCATCACTAGGCCTTGGAGTGACCCAAGGTGGAATTCTTATCCACATTTTATAAATGAGCTAAAGGAGCCTGGACTGCGGGGTGACTTGCCCAGGTGGCCGTATCAGCCAGGGTCCTCTAAAGAAACAGAACCAGTAGGGTATGAGGAGAGAAAGGACTGAGAAGTTGGGCCGGCTCTGTGGCCTGGTGGTCAAGGCAGCCAGATCCCACATGGGCAAGCTCATGGTTCAAGTCCCAGACCTGGTAGCCTGAGGATGACACTGGGAGCGTGTGCACATGTGCCCCAAGTCCTGATGGGGTGCAGAAAGGGAGGCCAGGGATGGCGGCATGACCATGTCCCACGGGGTGGCAGGGGGAAGGGTGCTTCCCCTTTCCTCTCTGTCTCTCCGGCAAGCACATGTGCCTTCTGGCAAATTAAAAAAAAAAAAAAAATCTACAAATCCTACACATACTGAACCCTGTTGAAGCCCGTGGTCAGCTCTGGGCCTTTCCCCTAATTCTCTACACCAGCCTACAGTGAGGGTTTTGTTACCTGAAATTTTATAAATAACTGTAACTGATAGTTTTAAACCACTCCTCTTTCAGAATAACAGAGTATATGTAGACATATAGAGACAGTGATCTGTATATATTTCCATAATTGTTGCTCTTTTATGGGCTTAACTTTTTTTTTTTTTTTTTTGGGAGGGTTTTGCTATAGGGCGCTTGCGCTCTCCAGAAAGACAGAGACAATGAGATAGAAAGTGAGAAACTACCCCCCATGGGGGATGGTCACGCCACAATCCCTTCTCCTCCATTCTCCTCTCGGGATCTTGAGCACGCACACACACACGCCCAGCCTGAGTTTAAGCCACCGCATCCAGGACTTGAACCACGGTTGACTATGTGGGAGTTCAGTGACAGACATTACGCTAACTGCTTGTCCTGGACTTAACATTTTGATTCTTGTTCAGTTGCAAATACTCCTAAGAAAGAACAGAACTGAATTTTTTACATTGAGAAAGATTTAAAAAGAAAAAAAAAACTCCGGTCCAGCCTCTGAGGGACGAAGCCACAGAGCGGTTAAGTGACCCACAGCGGGCATGCGCTCTTCCACTGACCTCTGACCCCATCAGCGTTAAGTCGCGCCGGGTCGGAGTGGTGGTGGGGATTAACACACAGGCCTGCTAGCATCTGGCTGGCGCGGTGTTGATCATTAACAATGGCTGACTTCTCTTTATCTGTCACTCCCGTTTTAGTACCGAAGTGTGTGTGGGAGCAAGGTATAAATAACTAACACCCCCTTATCAGTTACACTGAGAGAACGCACCCAGAGGAGAGAAGGGACAGACCCTTGAGCTTGACCCAGTAACCAGGCTGTGGCTGTCTGCAGAGCAGCGCTGATTCCACCTCCCACCCCCAGGGTGGGTGGGCAGAGCACCTCCAGTGTCTGAGTTCATCCTCACGAGAACCCAGCGCTTGAAACTGTGTCCTAAGGAAGCCAAGCCAGCTGTAAAAAGTTGAGAGTTGTTGCTGAAATTCTGAGACATGCCGGGGCCCTAGCTGCTCAGACCGGCCACCCCCGCAGGAGGAGAGTGCCTACCTGCCCTCCGGTGCCCAGAGGCTCTGAGAGCTCCGCACAGTCACAGAGTAGAGACAGACATGTCAGTGAGCCTGTGGGACAACCAGAGACTTCTCTGAAATACCTAAGGGAGAAACTGCAGGGGCCAAGGGTCCCGGTAGCTGGGAGGGCAACACCCATGACGTTGGACAGTAACAGACCCCCGGTCTGCACCTACACGGATGCACGCGAGGTCTGACTTAGACCCTTACCCCAGCCCTGATTTAATTCACAGCAGCAAGAACAGAGCAAGCAGGAAGGAGGAGACAGAATTCATCCAAAGGAGGTCCAGGCCACTGACTGTGACCAGGTACCATTTTACTAAACGCCAGCCCTAGAGAACACTTTACTCCTTTGCCTCGAGTTCTGATGTTCTTACACTTCGGATTAAACGAGTTAACAAACATAAACCCCCTCATTTTATCCTGCACGAAATGAGCACAAAATAAACGGCAACCATCTCTGTCTGCCTCTCTTCAAAGAGTACGTCTCACTGGGAACCAGCAGTTAGCGTAATGGCTATGTCGCTGAACTCGCATGTAGTTGACCGTGGTTTGAGTCCCGGACCCGGTGGCTTAAACTCATGCCGGGCATGTGTGCGTGCATGCCCAAGATCCCGAGAGGAGAATGGAGGAGAAGGGATTGTGGCATGGTCATTCCCCCTGGGGGGTGATTTCTCACTTTCTATCTCTCTGCCTCTCTCTGTCTCTCTGGCAAGCATACACACCCTATAGCAAAAACCTCTCCACAAAATTAAAAAATAAAAAAAGAGTGAGTCTCACTAGACCACACATATTCAAACGGATCACCCAAAAGGTAGAGGCTTCCTTGTAAATTACAGGTCGAGAGATGGCCCCTCTTATTAGCTGTGCAGTTGCAGGTTCACCTGACATTCTCTGTATTTATAGACTGTAGGTTATATTCCCCTTCTCTGTCCTATATACCTCGGTGTCGTTTGTGAAGAATAACTGAGACCATGAAGAATAGAAGGGTTTTAGTAGACGCTAAAGGGCTGAACACCTCCATCACTCCTAACCCCACAGTTCTCTTCAGCTGGTGGACAGAAGATAACATAACCCCTTCCCAATGAAGCGAAGGTCTCTGGACCCCACCTTCCCAAACCACAAGCCATCAACCCTCCCTTTCTCTAACAAGCAGATCTCCTAAGACACAAATTCACGGAACTTATGAATCTTCATGAATCCGACCACCACTTTGCTCAGACGAATCGTTTATCCAATCTATATTCAGTAGCAGCTGCGGCAACTGCAAAATGACTTACTCTCCAAAACACTTTGCTTGGGCGATAAGAAAATCCGACAAACTGTAAAGGTCTCCATATTTCATTCCATATTCTAGAAAAACCCAAAGCAAAACAATCCTTTGCAATTGTTCCCAGCGTCAGATGGACCAGGAGGGTCAGTGGGGTGAAGGAAATGGCAAAGTTAGGAAGGCGATGGCCAGGCCACAGCCCCAGAGTGTCAGCAAGTGACAGGGTGACTGGCCTAGGGCCGGTCACAGGTCAGGGTGACCACTACCTTTCCCCACCCACACGCATCCATGGACAGCCACTGTCCACGCTTCCGTCCCCACTCCTACTCACAGGAACGGTTCTAACAGAGGTCATCCAGCCCTGGAGTGTAGGTAAAGTCTGTCCTCTTTAACCCTTTCTCATTGTTTAAAACCTTGAGTACGAAATGCAACCTGCCGCGGTGAGGATGTCCCCAGGTCATGGCCTCTGCTCAGTTCTTGTGGTAGCTCATTGGCTGCTCCCGCTGCTCCAGGTCCTGGTCACACAACTGTGCCATACACGGGGTGACCAACAGTTCTGCATCTTTTTTGTTTGTTTGTCTTGGAGATTTTTGTTATACGGAGCATGCACACACTGGAGAGACAGAGAGACAGAAAGCGAGAAATCACCTCCCAGGGGGATGGCCACACCACAGTCCCTTCTCCGCCATTCTCCTCTCAGTATCTTGGGCACACACGCACACACACGTGGCGTGAGTTTCATGCCTCCAGGTCCGGGACTCGAACCACAGCCAACCATGTAGAAGTCCAGTGACGTAACCATTACACCACTTGCAGGTCCCACAGGTCTGCATCTAGACTGAGGTGGCAGTTAGACGAAACTCCGCATGGGATGAAACTGTGCGTACACACATGTGCAGGCACACATACCAGTACACGTAAGTACCCGTATGACTGGGAAAGAATAAACTCGTGGATTGCACAGTGTCAATTTCACGGGGTTGGTGCTACAGCCATGCAAGATGGTAGGAGCGTAGGGAGAAGAGGGCTGAGGGGTACTCAAGACCTGTCTGCAAGTACTTTTTATAGCTTTCTGTCCATCGATCCTTCTTTCACAATTAAAAGCTTAAAATAAAAGGTACCAGCTTCTCTCGCATCTTATCTCTTTTCTGGGAACATTATTATCTTTTTTCATATATGAGGGGACTTCAGAAAGTTCATAGGAAAAAGGGGCCAGAAGGTGGCGGAGTGGTTAAGGGCACTGGATTCCCACGTGGAAGACCACAGTTTGAGTCCCGAACCCAGGGGCTCGCTTTCTCACTTTCTTTCTCCCTCTTTCTGTCTCTCTCTCACTCTGTCCCTCTGTGGTCAAATTAAAATAAATAAATGAATAAATAGAGTTCAATCAAATAATCCTTTTAAAAAAAGAAAGACAAATCGTGCTCGCTTTGGCAGTACATATACTAAAATTGTGAACGATACGGAGAAGATTGGCATGGCCTCTACCCGAAGATGACACGCACATTTGTGAAGTGTTCCATATTAAAAAAAAGGAAGAGGAGGAGGAAGAAAAATAGAATTAAAATGAGTTAATTTTGGTGCAATAAAACTTGAAACCCACATATAGTGTTGTTATAATACCCATTTTCCATTTTCCAAAGACCCCTTGGATACTTCCTAACCCTTCTTCAATATTCAAAACCGTCACTGCACTCCACAGACGTTTGCTGAATGAGTGAACAAACAGTCCCTGTTATTCCTGTGATAGGAAAAGGCTGTTATATCAACCAGCCAACCTAATTTTATCAGTTAAAACCACACACTTGCAAGTCAAGCTACCTGATGGAAGCCCCCTCTACCTCTGGAGGCGCTCTGCACACAGATGTTTGAGAGCTCCTCGGTGCTGGCGTCTCCTCTTACAGAGGGATCCCAGGATCGTTGGAAGGACTCGATGCATGCACACATACAGTGTGCTTAAAGCATGGCCCGGGTATGAAGCCAGCCTCAACACTGGGCTTCCCTTATCTCTGCTGGCCTCAGCTCTGGGATGATCTCTCACCATATTCCTATCCCTCCCTCCCCATGGGTGCCCCAGATATCCTGTGCGTCCCCACCCATCCATGCCACCACCAGTACCCTCTTAGCATCTGCTCCTGCCTGTCGACTGCTATGTCACAGACACTGGAGGTGAGTGGCTTATGACAATGAAACCATTTATTTTGTTGAGAATCCACAGTTTGAGCAGGCTAGTGAGGACAGTGCTTTTTTTTTATTTTTTAACTTATTAATTTATTGGGGGGGGTGGTGGCAGCAGGTGGCATGGTGGTTAAAGGTGCTAGATTCCCACATGGCCAATTGCGGTTCGAGTTCCAGAATTGGCGACTTGCTTTCTCACTTTTTCTCTCTCTCTGTTCCTCTCTGATCAAATTGAAATAAATGAATAAATAAACTTATAATTCTTAAAAAACTTACTTAATTGTATTCATTATTATTATTACTTTTTTTGGAGAGGTTTTTGCTATAGGGCGTGTGCGCTCGCCAGACAGACAGAGAGAGACAGAGAGACAGAAAGTGAGAATCACCCCCCAGGGGGGATGGCCACGCTGCAATCCCTTCTCCTCCATCCTCCTCTTGGGATTCTGGGCCTGCACACATGAACCAGGCATGAGTTTTAAGTCACCGATCCAGGACTTGAACCACAGTCGACTACATGGGAGTCCAGTGACGTAACCATTAAGCTGTCTGCTGGTCCCGCATGGCAGCTGAGTTCTAAGGGCAAGTGTCCCAACAGGAAAAGCAGCAAGCACAAGCCTTGTCACCGTTAATGACTCTGCCGCTGAAGCTACACTTCATCACTTCCTCCACGTCAATTCATCGAGGGAGTCGCCAAGTTCTTTCCAAGTCACCTTGTGACAGGGAAGTGGCAAGGTTCTGGAAAAGCACATGGACCAAAGATGTTACCATGTTAACCTGGTCATAGATTTACTGTCTCCGGATGCTTTTTTTTTTAAAGGTTTTGACCATAGGCCAGAGAGACAGAGAAAGTCGGTGACAGGGAAAGCAAGGAATCACCCCCCAAAGAGAATGCCACGCCACAATCCCTTCTCCTCTACTCTCCTCCTAGAATTTGGGGCATGCACACACATGTGCCCAGCATGATTTTCAAGCCACCAGGTCTGGGACTCGAATTGCAGTAGGTCGTATGTGAGAGTCCAGCACCTTAACCACAATGCCGCCTTCTGGCCTGTCTCCTTATGCTTTAACATCTGGGGCTTGGCTAATAGCAGAGGAACTGCTTTCCCCAGAGCACACCAATTTCTAGAGAGAAAAAACAACTTGCTCACAAATGTGCCTTTTTTTTTTTTTTTTGGAGAAGTTTTTGCTATAGGGCGTGTGCGCTCACCAGACAGACAGAGACAGAGAGACAGAAAGCGAGAAATCACCCCCCCAGGAGGGATGGCCATGCCGCAATCCCTTCTCCTCCATTCTCCTCTCGGGATCTTGGGCACACACGCACATGCACCCGGTGTGAGTTTTAAGCCACCGGGTCCGGGACGTGAACTGCGGTCGACTACGTGGGAGTCCAGCGACATAGCCATTACGCTAACTGCTGGTCCCACAAATGTGCTTTTCAAGTAAAAGAGCAACCAACCACCAGCCCACACGTCAACGGTCCCCGTTAGTCATCTGCCCCGCTCCAGGCCTGCCCACCTATCCTAGTCACCCCAGGGCTGGTGATCAGAGCGCTGGAGGCAACGCCCGAGCCCTAGAGCCCACAGCCACCGTTCAGACCGGCCAGCACCATGCTGCTTCCTGTGCCTCACCGTCCCTTTCCCCGAAGCCACAAGAAAGCCACTGCCCACAGCTCCCTGGTCTCCTTCTGCCTCCTGACTGCCACCAGAGCTCCCAGCGTGGCCCCAAGTCGGCGGGCCTCCTCTGCTCGGAAACTGTGAGGGACAATCTTTTCAGTACCCGTTGTCTCCTGACCTGTCAGCACAGCTGTATCTCAAAGTTCCTATTTATACACTACAGTTCAGAACAATATCGAGGCCATTTTGAAGAAATACAATCTTCCACATTCTGTATTAAAATAGCTTATGTGCTTGTCCTCAGCTTGACTCTTTTTAAAATATTTTTATTTAAATTTTATTTATTTACTTATTTATTTTTAACTTGACCAGAGCAAGAGAGACAGAAGAGAGAGAGAGAACGTGAGAAAGCAAGCCACCAGGTTCGGGACTCAAACCATGACCAGCTATGTGGGAGTCCAGCGCTTTTAACATGCCACCTGCCAGCCCCCTCAACTTGAGTTTGTACATACAAAAACATGGACCTTTATCTCTCAACCCCAGCTCTTAGCACATAAGCTACATTTTAAAAATGTTTGTTGACTGACTGAATTGCTGATAACCATACTACGACGTCTGACCCCTTACTTGGTATCAAAGAAAAGGGGCCCTTTGCAAACGCCTTACACACACTGGAGCGCGGTGCTCAGCTAGCTCTTCTCTGCTCCACCCACAATAGCTGCTGCCTTTGCCTGTGGCTGTAGCTCCAGGTCTCGCTCTTAGACCACAGTTCAAGACCCTCCCTCTGGCCACTGACCCCCTTCCCACTCGCCTCCCTCTGCCTCTCTACAGCCGGCTCCAACTGTTCAGCCTCATCCCTGTTCTCCAGGCACTTGGGGATTATGCTACAATGGGTCTCCCCAGAGCGGGTGCGCAATCGTTGGCAAGAGAGAGAGAAAGTGAGAAAGCCCATCCCCGTGGGGCACGTTCAGCACAACCCCTGCTCCTCTCTCACCTTTTGGGATTTGGGGCACGCATGCACATGTACACAGCATGACTTCTTTTTTAAGATTTATTTAATTTTATGTTGTTTTTTTTTTTAAGAATTATTTTTTATTTTACTTTATTTTCATTTGACCAGAGAGGAAGAGAATGAGAGAGAGAGAGAAGTGAGAAAGCAAGCTACAAGGTCCAGGACTCGAACCGTGGTCAGCCATGTGGGAGTCCAGAGCCTTTAACCACCATGCCACCTGTTGGCCTCATTTTTTTTTTTTTTAATTTGACCAAAGAGAGAGAGAAAAGGAAAGTGAGAAAGCAAACTGCCAAGTCTGAGACTCAAACCGCAGTCGGTCATATGCGAGTCTAATGCTTTAACTACCACGCCACCTGCCTCCTCCCCCTGCATAATTTTTCATCTGCCAGGTGTAGGACTTGAACCGTGGGATCAGCCACGTGGAATCCAGTCGCCTTGACCACCACGCTGTGGGCTGGCTCTCCTTCCTTCCCACTTACCTACCTTTCTTTCGCATATTTATTTATTCCATAAATGAGAGAGACAGCACCTCGGACAAGGTCCTCTCATTAAATCCACCCCCAACCCCAGCCAGTCCCAGGCCATGGGCCCATGTATGCATGGCACACCCAGGGGGGCCCAGACGGGAACCTGGGGGCAGAGCGTCACCCTGTACAGCTGTCACCATCCCGCCCCTCCTGCCAGCTTTCAGAGCCGAACTCCAGCCCCAGCGGTCCTTCCTGAGCTGAAGGAAGGTCCTGTCCCAGGCATGGAGACACGTGTCCTTTCTGAACTGTCTCACAGCATCCATCCTCGGCATTGCCCCTTTATTGCTTGGTTACACAATAGATCTACGGGCGATGTTAATTAGATTCTGAAGATTAAAGCTCTAAGGAACTTTAAGAGATTATTTCATTCAACTCCCTTAATTTGTATCGAGGAAACCAGGCCTGAGTGTTACTCGCCCGAGGCCCCAGCCCTCATTAGTGGCAGGAGAGGGAATAGAATGCGCGTCCTGATTTCAACTGCATTCTCTTTCCGTAACACCAGGTTGCCTCGATCCAACTATTTTAAACGTTGTCCCCTTCAGAATTTTACAGCCACCTCAGGCCACAGCTCACAAGCCTCGCATCCTCAACATACCCACGGCTGTCTTAGTAAGTCCATGTGGAAACCGCGAAGGTGTTTCTAGGTCATGCCTTTACCCACAGAAATTTCTCTTCACAGTTTCTGAAGAGCAAGATAGGCCAGCCACAGTGGCAGGGAGGTAACACGATGATTCTCGCTGCTGCAGTCATAGGGGAGGGTCGCGGGTTCACATCCCGAGGTCCCCGTGTGCACACTGGATGTGTACAAGTGTGCCCGTGATCCTGACTGGCACTCGCGGGGTGTAGACCACTGCGTCAGGGCTCCATGGGGATAGAATATCTGTCTCTCTCATGGAAGAAATGAATGATTGAATCGGGACCAGCAGATGGCATAATGGTTGTCGTTGGACTCCCCCGTAGTCAACCGTGGTTCAAGTCCCAGATTTGGCAACTTAAAAAATTCACACTGGGTACATGCACGTGTGTGCCCAAAATCTCAAGAGGAGAAAGGAGGAGAAGGGATTGCAGCTTGGCCATGCCCCCCAAGGTTGGGGAGGAGGGTGATTTCTCACTTCTGTCTCTCTGTCTGTTTCTCCAGCAAGTGCACAAAAAATCTCTCTCAAAAATCTCTCTCAAAATAAAAAAAAAAAGAAAGAAAT